CATGTGTCACAACCTCAAAATACGATGTCGTATTTTGCAGTGAATCTAACAGAGACAAATGAAAAATTGCCATCCAATTTTCAATTTTTCAATTTACCTTATTTTGTCAATTTTCTGAGATCTTGATCTTAACAATTTTATTTCAAATTCTCTTGAGAGTGTATATAAAAAAAACGTCTGAAAGAGTTGATTTTTACCGAAATTCATAATCATGAAGTTTAACTTTTGAAAATCTCGCATATATAAACTTTGAATGGTTTGAAGAGCGTTGATAAAGACAAAATGTGACGGTTGTATGGATTCAATAGCAAGAAAACTTGCAATTGAAGCTTGTGCTGGTCCAAGATTAAAACAACCTTTTGCTGTTCATTGTAATGAATAAGCTAAATCACAAAACAAAGTTCAGACTTATTCAAATGTCTTGGTTAAACAGAAAAAGTTTCGCGATAACGCGAAAGGTTATAACTACATGTATAACGCGAAAGTTTCGCGTTTATTTGCGAAAAGTCACGCGTTATAAGCGAAAGGTACGCTTTTATTTGCGTTCGCGAATTTTTTTTTAACCTAGGAAAATGAGCCTAATTGGCTTTGGTAGCAAAAACACTATCTTTGGGATATTTCTTTTTAACAACATTCAGGGAGGTTGATTGTAGGATGAATTGGGGCAAATAAATTTTGTCAATTTGTATGGAAAACGCTAAGTAATTCGGAATTTAACCCGTCGGTTTATTCGCAACTGGTCAAATACCCACTCAAGTTTACAAGCTTTAAGACAAACTTTAATTTGAAAGAGTTAAATGTGGTATGGCTTAATTTACCACCAGAAGTATATTACTATTTTGAGAAACAAGTTAGATATAAAGAACTCCCGCAAATATTCATACATGTAGTACCGTCAAATCGGGACCTTATTCGGAACTGGCTAAAAGTCTACATCGTTAATTAACCCAGTTGATTTTAATGTTGAAATCGTGTTCTGTCATTTAATCCAATAGTAAGACTTGTGTCATAATTTAAAGGTTTTAACGTAACTTTATTAAACTTATAGCATTGCAAATAAAACTCTTTTCTGTTTATAATTTAAGAGTTATATAATAAAAAAAATTATGTAGTTGGTTCGATGGGTAATAAGTAATCTTTTGGTGAAAATCAGTCCTGGCACTAAAGCATTTTCTCAGGTATGATCTGATGCCTTTCTGGTATATGAAGGATATTTTATTCTTTGATTGACTTCAACTCATTAGAGAATGCATAATTATGGGGGGGGGGGTGATATAAGAAGCGCAATATTGATAACTTTGCCATTTTAATATAACAAACGTTAAAATTCAGTCTAGACTTCCCAAGCAGAATTAATTATTTCGAGAATATCACAATGGAAGTATATTAATTATATGATATATTCTATGGAAGGGAATTACCGCCAAAAGTCTATGTATCTTGCTTTTATTCTTATTCTGCCTACTTCTTTATGCTTTGTTATTATTGTAATTATATGTCACTTTATTGTTTTCATATTCGTCTTTATTACATTTCACTTTGACTTTTATCTTTCTTCATTTCGTCCTTACTTCTATGTTTCTTTATTCTTGTTACGTCATTTTACTTTCTTTGAAATTGATACAGTATCTTAAATGATAATCTCTATTACGAACGTTAACTCAATCAAGCAAACAATGAAGCATATTCAATGAAGACGAATACGAGTTGTCCTAATTTAGTGCCGCATTATAACGCTAGGTGGCAGGGGTGTTCGCTAAGAGTGTTGGTAAAATTAGGTAAGCAAACCGGGCCGGGGTTATTCGAGTTTTTTCCAATTTTCTGCCTTTAATACTTTATCAATCGAACTTAAATTTTCAAATGAATTATGTTTGTTATTAGTTCAGGTATGTACCCGATACATGCCATTCCCTCGGATGTTTCGCTAGATGGTAAGATTTCCCCTGGAAGACTGACTACATAGTGATGCTTCCTTTGGAAGACTATACACTGGGACTTCCCCCGGGGTATAGCTAGTCTTCCGTGGGAAATCTTGCTATATATAGCAATTCGTCCCCCCCTTCATAGCAACCCCTCCCCCGAATAGTTTTTTTAATCGTAAAACGATGTTTATATATACGAACATTTTCAGTTTTTGAAGAAAAGTTATCCGTCCTATACATATGATACATGTATGAATAAATGTTTAAATAATATCATTTGAAAAGTGCTTTATAATTGAATCATTTTAACCAATAGTTAAATATATAGAATCTTCACGAGTCCATATGGATAATAACCCCCCCTCCCCCTGGGTTAAGTCGCCCGCATGGCACTGTGGTTACGGCATCTGCTCTAGAGTCACGAAGTACAGTAGTAAGGAGTCGATCAATACGTCGTGGGTAAGAATCCCACTGTAGGACATGGAGTTCAATCCATCGGATGAGATCTAGACCTTGTTATCCGAGGTCCCGTGTCGCAGTAGGTGCTGGCACGAAAAAAGATCCCTCACTGCTCAATGGCTATAAGTGCCAAGTATATAGGACAAATTTGCAGCTCTCCACAGGCAAAGTGGCTAACTTTCAATTCCAATTTTTTGGGGGAAATTTTTTTTTATATCCACTGTGGTGAAATGTGGGGGGGGGGGGGGTGGCTAATCTTCCTTTAAGTAAACATTTTCTATAGTAAAGGTAATGTCGGGGGGAAAAGTGGGGGGGGGGGGGGTAGGCACCCTCCCTACCCCCCCCCCCTGATACTACGTCCCTGCCTTACCCTTTTTGTTGGAGTACTAATAGTCAATTTATATATTAAAAGTCATGTACTTATTGGCATGAGTAAAATTTAGCACTGAAAAAAAGTTGACGACCCCTCCCCCCTCACCACCACCAAACAGAATTTTCGAGTTCTAAGATTTTTTTTAGCTCTCCTGGCTGATCACAAATACGATGCGTACTAAAGATATTTCTTTCTTTATTGAAAATTAAGTGCTCTTTTAATATAAAATATTAACGCTGAAACTAAGACCAGGGAGTTTCTAGTATGTCTGGATGCATGAAGCCTAGTTCTTACTTCGCCTACCATACGCGGATCTAGAGGGGGGTGGGGTGTAAGGACCCCCTGGAATTTACAAGGTTTAAAAATGTATATACTAAAGCAAGGAAAAAAGTTAAACGCTCCCTACGAAATAGGATTTTGACGTTTGGGCGAGTTTAGTTTTTTTATGCTCGTCAAGAAATTTCTGGGATTGGAATTTTTGATTTTGGACTGGGGTGGACCCCCCCCCCCCGAAAAAAAATTTGGATCCGCGCCTGCCTACCCATATTAACGCTCCTCACTCCTTTGCAAAGCCCTGTCCCTAGAATCACGCACATGAGCAGTTACTATCTGTCGTGAAATGAACTTCAGTTCAGTGAAATTTTCTGAAAAACAACCCAATTTATGAGGGTTAACTAGTATCAAAATATTGAACATTTTTATATCAATTAACTGGAATTCAATTATCCAACAAATAACTTTAATAGAGTTATATTTTTCAGGCGAGAGAACAGTAACGTAGCATTGTACGTTTTTGAAAGTGGGGAGGGGGCAACAAGAGAATAAATATTAAAGTACCCGGCTGAAAACAACTTGACAAGCGCAAAAAAACTCCCAGGAAATTGTCCAAACTTGAAAATACATACTAGGTGTCGGAACCGTGGAGGGGGTGGGCTTAGCCCCCACTTTTTTTTCCAGAGATAGAATTAGTACAGACGTTCCTGCATAGGTTTAGACCCCCCCCCCCCCCCCACTTGCCATGGGCACGATGCAGTATAGGTTTAAAATGGGGAAAGTGGTGGTGTATGGGAAAAAAAACTTTGGCACTGGAGTTCGAACCTACCCCCCCCTCCCAACCCCCACCCACCTACCCCCCCCCCCCTCCACGAAATTGAATATTTGAGTTCGGGAAATGGACATTTCTTTTCTTTTCTTTCTTTTTTTTTTTTTTTTTTTTTGCTTGCCAGGTTTTTTTGAAGGTCTTAAAAAATTCTTACACTTAGCCCCCCCCCCCCATTTCAATTTGCTTCCGATGCCAATGAAATCCTATTTCGAAGGCGGGGTGAGTTTTGGCTTAGATTCAACTTCTTCTATAGAATCAAATTTAAATTTTCTACCTACTATACGTACCACATTAACTTATTTGAGCCTTACTCTTACAAAAAGTGGGTCGGCCTTTCAATGAACATATTCAGTATAGTATAAAGTTATGTCTGAAAAAGGAGGCCGCTTTTCCTGTGTGCCCAGAGAAAATAAATATGGAGTTTCCATTATTGGATCGGATTATTGGATCTGACCTTCAGAAGTTCGATTGATAATTAAAGTACTAAAGCGTATTGAAAAATCTCAAATACGACCCGGGTTTGGTTACCTAGTTTTACCAACACTCGTAGCGAACACCACACCACCTAGCGTTATAATGCCGCACTAAATTTTGACGGTTTGACAACTTCCATTCGTCTTCATTGAATATGCTTCATTGTTTGCGTGATTGAATAATTTATTTAAGAAACTGTTTAAGTTTTAAAAAAAGTAGAATAAATTTACAAGAATAAAGCAACATAGAAGTAAGGACGAAATGAAGAAGGATAAAAGTTCGAAGTGAAATGTAATAAAGACGAATATGAAAACAATAAAGTGACATATAAATACAATAATAACAAAGCATAAAGAAGTAGGCAGAATAAGAATAAAAGCAAGATACATAGACTTTTGGCGGTAATTCCCTTCCATACTATTCAATCGAATATTATGTGGTATATCGTGTTATTTAATTAATTTTGAATATCAATACTAGTAACATATGTACATTCTGACAGGAGTGCAGAATTTATCAGGACTACATGCATGCTCTATTCATTACCTATTGCTGAACGTTATGGCAAAAAATCTGTTAGAAATATAAAATCAAAATACATGTATTACATTATCATTTAGTACAAGATATATTTTCTAAATAAATTACTAGTCAGTGTATATATTTTCAGCACAGAACCTGCAAATCCAGGTCCAACCATCAAATGTAATATTAGGACAAAATGATTTTGTAATCACCTGTTCCACAATCAGCCCATCACAACTTGATACAGTGTATACTATACAGCTACAAAAAAACAATACTGGCACAATACAGGATGTGGTTTCTGTTCGTTCAAGTAACGGTCAAGATAGAATAACATGGCAGGACACAAGTTTACGAAATAGAGCAACAGCAACAGGTAATGTCAGCTCACCTGCCACAGCTCAGCTCAAGTTCAGGATTCCTAAGGACAGAGTGCTGTGTCCTCTAGATTTTACTGGATACAGGTGTAAGATGAGTGGATTCACAATGGCGCTAGTTAATCAAGAAACAAATCAAGTGCATGTTACCTATACAGGTATGTAGTATACATTCCCAAATCCAGCATTGCATTTGTTTATTTAATCTAATATTAATTGTAAAATCTTGTTACACCTTGATGGATCTTAATTGTAATTAAGTAAATCCAACAACGATTGAAATGCCAAATGTGAGGATACTTGGTGAATTTTCTGATACACCATCAAGACAATTTCCGGTTGGAACGGCTGTGCAGCTGGCATGTACAGGACAGATTGGTAGTGAACCAACTGCTGTAGGTACATTATCTTAAATAACAATATAATATCAGAAAACTTTATGTCAACATCTTAATCGAAATTCATTAACTACTCTTCAGACAATTCGATGGTGCTCGAAGAAGTCCCAAGCTTTTAACTTCACTGGGTTACCACAGACCCCAGTCCATTCGGAGGCCTCGCCATCTTCTAACTGTCAGTACAAACGTTCCAGTACCATCACCTACAACATCACCAGTGATGACACCTACACACAGTTCTTGTGTGAGTCTGGATATTCTGGTCTTTGTGAAACAGGAACAGCCAAGCAATATCTGAATATATCCATAGGTGAGTTCTTCTTAAATATTATTTTCCGCTTGATATCCCATATAAATACTGAATGACATAACTATTGTAAATCATATTAATACTGGGTATTATTTTTTTTAATATTATACATTTATGTAAATTAGTTGAATCGGATTTGTCAAGAAATATTTGTTTAAAAAAAACACTAATACCCGCTGAATAATGTAGCCACGCCTTTCTGGGTGGCAACAGTCAAAATTCCTTGATGACGGGTGTTATTCCAAATTATAGTGACCGCGAAGAATTTATGCTTCTTTTACGAATCGTGTTCAGCCAAAGCAAGGGCATTTATGAATCAAAACAGTATTCGGCATCGATCCCGATGCAAATTACTTCTCTCCCGTTTCGTATACAGCGCTTAATCTCACGCAACATAAGTTAAAGGTGCATAGACACAGATTTGAAGTTAATATTTTCTGTATAATATCACGACTTGTATATTGTAATAGCATTTCACACGAAAATGAATTAAAAATCTTATGTCATCTTAAAGTTAAGTTATTGAAAAGTTCGTGGACTAGCGCCATAAATCAAAACTATTAGGCTATATTGCAAAGACTTTTTAGCTCTACTGGTCAGAGACCAGAAGAGCTTATAATGCGATAATACATGTAATGCGTCCGTCGTCCGTCCGTCCGTCCGTCTATCTGTAAACATTTTTTTTTCAAATTGCTACTCCTCCAACAGTTTTGGTCTTTATTCAATATAACTTGGAACACAAGTAGATTACACTAAGATACAGAAAAATTAGTGCATCGGTTTTTGATTTGGATGAACATTGTTGCCATGGTTGCTAAAAATAGAAATTTCTGTGAAATTCCTTTAAAACGCTACTCCTCCTGCAGTTTTGGTCTGATTTCAATATAACTTTGCACACAAGTAGACTACACTAAGTTACATAATTAAGTGCATTTTTTTTTATTTCGTTGAACGATGTTGCCATGGTTACAAAATATAGCAATTTCTGTGAAATTCCTTTAAAACACTACTCCTCCTACAGTTTTTGTCTGATTTCAGTATAACTTGGGACACAAGAAGACTACACTAAGATTCAGAAATTAATGCATCGGTGAAATACCTTTAAAAGCTACTCCTTATAAAATTTTGGTCTGATGGCAATGGCATCTTTTCTCTTCCTTTGTTATAAGTACAAACCAGTAGAGCTACAGTCTCGAGAGAGACTTCTGGTTACACTTTGAATTATTATCAATAAACGTTTTTCGTAAGCAGTGGAATGACCACGTGGCGCAACCTCAAAATACGGTGTCGTATTTCTACAGTGAATCTAACACAGTCAAATGAAATATTCCCATCCAATTTTCAATTTTTCAATTTACCTTATTTTGTCAATTTTCTGAGATCTTGATCTTAACGATTTTCTTTCAAATTCTCTGGAGAGTGTATATAAAAAACGGCTGAAAGGGTTGATTTTTACCGAAATTCATAATCATGAAGTTTAACTTTTGAAAACCTCGCATTAACTTTGAATGGTTTGAACAGCGTTGATAAAGACCAAATTTGACGGTTATATGGATTGAATAGCAAGAAAACTTAAAATTGTAGCTTGTGTTGGTCCAAGATCAAAAAAACCTTTTGCTTTTCATTGTAATGAATAAGCTAGATCACAAAACAAAGTTCAGACTTATTCAAATGTCTTGGTTAAACAGAAAAAGTTTCGCGATAACGCGAAAGATTATAACTACATGTATGACACGAAAGTTCTGCGTTACTTTGCGAAAGTCACGCGTTAAAAGGCGAAAGGTACGCAAAAGTTTCCGCGAAAGTTTTGCGTTATAACGCGCAAGTTACACGTTATATCACGAATCATTAATTTTATGCTTTTATTTGCGTTCGCGATTTTTTTTATTTTTTTAACCTAAGAAAATGAGCCCAATTGGCTTTGGTAGAAAAAACACAAACTTTGGGATATTTATTTTAACAACATTCAGGGAGGTTGTTTGTATGATGAATTGGGGCAAATAAATTTTGTCTGAGGTCGATTTATATGGAAAACGCTGAGTTATTAGGAACCCGTCGGTTTATTCGCAACTGGTCAAATAGCCACTCAAGTTTACAAGCTTTACGACAAACTATTTGAAAAAGTAAAGTGTGGTATGGCTAAATTTAAAACCGGATGTATATTTACTATTTTGAGAAACAAGTTAGATATAAAGAACGCCTGCATATATTTTTAGCACCGTCAAATCTGGACCTTAAATTTGGAACTGGCTAAAAGACTACATCGTTAATTAACCTAGTTGATTTTAATATCATACTCGTGTTCTTTCATTTAATCCAATAGTAAGACTTGTGTCATAATTTAAAGATTTTAACGTAATTTTATTAAACTTATAACATTGCAAATAAAACTTTTTCTGTTTATAATCTAAGAGTTATAATATGTTGTTGGTTCGATGGTTAACAAGTAATCTTTTGGTGAAAACAGTCAACTAAAGCATTTTGTCAGGTATGATCTGATGCCTTTCTGGTATATAGGATATTTTATTCTTTTATTGACTTCAACCCATTAAAGAATGCCTAATTATTGGGGGGGGGGGGGGCTTAATTAAGAAGCGCAATATTGATAACTGCTACACTTTAATACCATTCTCTATCCAGAGTTGTCGTTCTCCCTTCTCTCCCACATACACCTCTGTTAACGCTTGTTATACAAGATTCTTGGAAAAATTGTTTTTGATTAAAAGTTGTATTTATAATTGTGTGTAATTATTTTTCTTATCGGAAAACGTTATTTAGTTTAATTTGTTACACCTTAAAAGGATTTTTTAATAAAGATTTAATTTTTACTCCACAAAATAGTTCCTTAAAATCTTGGAAAATAAGTCGTTCTGAGTGATTATTGATTTAAAATAAATAATGAATTATCATCTTTATCAATATTTACAATAATTAATTATCATTTAAATTTCGAATCTTCGCTGTTGAAAATTTGTGCAAGAATCTTGTACAACGAGCGTTGACAGAGGTGTTGTGAGCGTAGCGGAAGATAACTCTGGATAGAGCATGTTTTAATATTACAAAAATTAAAATTCAGTCTAGACTTCCCAAGCAGAATTAATTATTTCGAGAATACCACAATGGAAATATATTAATTATATGATATATTAAAACGAATATTAATTGGAATATCGTGTTATTTAATTAATTTTGAATATCAATACTAGTAACATATGTACATTCTGACAGGAGTGCAGAATTTATCAGGACTACATGCATGCTCTATTCATTACCTATTGCTGAACGTTATGGCAAAAAATCTGTTAGAAATATAAAATCAAAATACATGTATTACATTATCATTTAGTATAATGTATGTTTTCTGAATAAATTACTAGTCAATGCATATATTTTCAGCACAGAACCTGCAAATCCAGGTCCAACCATCAAATGTAATATTAGGACAAAATGATTTTGTAATTACCTGTTCCACCATCAGCCCATCACAACTTGATACAGTGTATACTATACGGCTACAAAAAAACAGTACTGGCACAATACAGGATGTGGTTTCTGTTCGTTCAAGTAACGGTCAAGATAGAATAATAGAGTTGGGTATTGCGAACGAAAACCATATTGCGATATATTGCAATATTTTAGATTGAATATTGCAATATATTGCAATATATTGTAGATTAATTATCATTAATAAATTTGTGCAGAAAGTTTAAAATGCTGTCAAGTTCAAAGACTATTTGAATTTATCTATAAATTTTAAAGGGGGCGGGGGATAAGACATTAATCGCATACATAATTATATTAACTTTCTATCAAAAACCAGGTAAAAAATAAAAACAAAATGTACTTATTTGATGTATTTTCAAATCGAAAAAAAAGTTTATGCATAGTGTCCTCTACCAAAATTTGAATTTTTCAATTAAAATTTGTATATGACAATTAAGATAGTCATGTTGTATATTTTATTTGATAAAATAAAGTATATCAGGAAAGACAATAGTATATTCTATATATGTTTTTTTCGGGGGGGGGGGGAGTTGTTTTTTTTGAAATAGCATAAAATGTAACTTAATGATTAAAACAATATATACTATATAGAAAGTTTATGTGGTCACAGAATAAAATTAAAGCCAGAAAGAAATTGTTACCTATTTTCGGGCGTTTGGTGTTTTTAGTCTGACCCGACCTAATTTCACATTATGACACATACGATCAGGAACAGCATTGGCCTTTTTTCTATTGTTTTAATATACATGCTCCTGGTAAAGCATGAAGGTGTTTAAAATGGCATGAAACTTGTTAAAAAATAATAAAAAGCAACACTGTATCAAGTGAAAAAATGGATGGCTATTTATTTGTAATATGTATCTTGAACTTAACATTCATCGTCGATCGTGTAGATTCCATGAGATTTTGAGAACCACAGTACACATGGTATACACTCTGTAGAAATGTTTTATATATTTTCTTTCTTAATAATTTTATTTAAAAGTCTTTTTATTGATTATTAATTTTATTTTAAAGTAAGATATTTAAAATTGCGACAGTGAATGAAAAGCTCTCTCTCTCTCTCTCTCTCTCTCTCTTTTCTCTCTATCTGCCTCTGAAAGCTGACGAAGTATTTTTTTACTAGATTGAAAAGGCCTGGGGAAGTTACAAGTATTATTTCAGCGGTTTCTACAATAAAGGAGGTTTTTATATATTTTTATAGATATCGTGAAATACCGGTATCTGATTTTCATATCGCGATATATTATCGTGGTGGATAATACCGCAATATACCGGTATACCGGTAATATTGCACAGCCCTATAGAATAACATGGCAGGACACAAGTTTACGAAATAGAGCAACAGCAACAGGTAATGTCAGCTCACCTGCCACAGCTCAGCTCAAGTTCAGGATTCCTAAGGACAGAGTGCTGTGTCCTCTAGATTTTACTGGATACAGGTGTAAGATGAGTGCATTCACAACAGGGACAGTTAAACACGAAACAAATCAGGTGTATGTTACTTATACAGGTATGTAGTACACATTCCCAAATACAGCATTGCATTTGTTTATTTAATCTAATATTAATTGTAAAATCTTGTTACACCTTGATGGATCTTAATTGTAATTAAGTAAATCCAACAACGATTGAAATGCCAAATGTGAGGATACTTGGTGAATTTTCTGATACACCATCAAGACAATTTCCGGTTGGAACGGCTGTGCAGCTGACATGTACAGGACAGATTGGTAGTGAACCAACTGCTGTAGGTACATTATCTTAAATTAACAATATAATATCAGAAAACTTTATGTCAACATCTTTATCGAAATTCATTATCTACTTTTCAGACAATTCGATGGTGCTCAAAGAAGTCCCAAGATCTTGGCTTCACTGGGTTACCACAGACCCCTGTCCACTCGGAGGCCTCTCCATCTTCTAACTGTCAGTACACATGTTCCAGTACTATCACCTATAACCTCACCAATGATGACACCTACACATGGTTCCTGTGTGAGTCTGGATATTCTGGTCTCTGTGAAACAGGAACAGCCAAGCAATATCTCAATATATCCATAGGTGAGTTCTCCTTAAATTATCTTTTCGCTTTATATCCCATTTACATACTTTGTAACAGAGTCAGTAGCGGATAAACCCCCTCGGTTGGCCAGAGAAGCTCGGATTCGGCGCGGTGTAATCCTATCGAGACGTCTCTGGTCAATTTGAGTAAGATTATCCCAATCTTGTTACAATGCTGCAGCAAGTTTTTGAACATTGGTAGGAGGTTGTTGACGATGACGTAGCCTGTAATAGACTTTTAGCATAGATTTCTGTAGAAACAAATTCTTAAATCACAGTTAGGCACCTGACGTTACTTACCGGGTATTTCTCTTTTGATAAAAAAAGAATATACTCCCTACCTGTGAATAATTAGGCATGGGTATTTTTTTATAAGAAAATTAAGTACCGTCAGATGCCTTTGAATTATTAGGTGTGGGGTATATTTTTTTTATTAAAAGGAAAATAAGTTACATCAGGAGCCTGTGTTTTTTAAGGTATACTGATAACATTGTTATTGTTCATTCCAGAAGGAAGTTTTATTACAACTTACAGATTACCACAGTGTGTGTCCACTAACGGTAGGAGAAATATAAAATGCTTGCTTGTCAATGTGTCTGTCCAGCTATTCTCTCTTTAAATATCAACGATATCAAGATTAAAATGTCCGCCCAATTTGAACAGTATAATCTGAGTTGGGCACTTTACACTCCAAGTAATCAAACAGTATTCAAGATCAGTAGATTATCCATACAATAAAAATCAGGAGCAGGGCAAATACGGACCTCTGGAATATCAGAGATGAGATCAGGTGCCATGGAGGAGTGAGCATCTCCTGCCTGTCAAAACTTTCGTGTGTCCCTTGTAATGATCAGAAACTAACGAAAAAATCCGTCGACAAATCAGTCTGACAATTAGAATGAAATTAGAATGAAAAAATCACTCAGTATTTGACGTAATGATAGATTGTATTTGCTAACTATTGAGATCATTGTTTCGACCATATAGAACTTACAAAATAAATTGTATTCAATTGATAACATATACCATTAATTTTATTTTATGCGCCCGAATCGATAGATTCGGGGCGTGTAATGTTTTTGTCCTGTCTGTCTGTTTTTCTATTTATTTGTTTGTCTCTCTGTTTGTCTATCTGTTGTCAACTTTAACCTTCGCCATAACTTTTGAACCGTGAGAGATAGAGACTTCATAGTTGGTAAGCAGACTCCACTAATTAAGCTCTTTCAAATGACACCAATGTCAATGACCTGGTGACCTTTACTGTGACCTTTATGCTAAAATAGCTTTTTTGAACTTTTGCCATAATTTTTGAGACATAGGAGGTAGAAACTTCATATTTCGTATGCACACTCCACTAATTAAGCTCTTTTAAAGGAAAAAGGTCAATGACCTTGTGACCTTTATACTAAAAATAGCTTTTTCGAACTTTGTTGCCGTCGAGCGCATAGTGTTTCACAAACACATCTTGTTATCCAATTAAATGTCGCGTAACAACCAAAATTAAATTATATACAAGTATAGAAGTTTCTAAAAATGCAAGTCAAACTCTAAGTTAAATGTCAAAAAGTCAAATTTGTTGGTTTCCAATTAAGAAAGATATAGTCACAATGATACACATTTGAAGTATGAAGGCCCTATCACAAACTATTGAAAAGTTATGACCAAGGTTAAGGTTTGGTAATTATTTTCAGAAGATGGGTCACAATCCAGGGTCAAGGCCAAGTGTCAAATTTCGTGATACCCAGATAAAGGTCTTGTCATAAGGAATACGCCTGTGAAATATAAAAGCTACAGCTTCACCCAATCAAAAGATATGGGCAAGGTTAAAGTTTTTCGGACAAAATGACCAACAGTCAGACAGACAGACAGTCAGGGCAAAAACTATATACCCCTAATAATTCATTTTAAGGGGCATAAAGAACTTGCGGGGCAAGATTAAGAGAAGGAGAAGTGGGTTGTTCTAGGACCAAGCACATTTCATGAAATTGTGTAAATATAAGAAATAACTGGGCGATTATGCAAGTTATGCACGTATGAAAAAAAAGTGGAAAAATACAGTATCCATCAAATCCGTTTTATGCAATATAACGGTTTTATTTCAAAGTTTAATGCACACTGGGTTTAAACCTCTCGTTTGATTCGTATGCAAAAGCATGCTCTTTGTACAAACACTAAAAAAAAAGAATGCAAGTTATTGACAAAAAGTTGGAGAAACAAGAATATCAACAGTTCTAGTCTACTTGTAAAGAAAAAAATGGAGAGGGCTGCATTATTGCAGCTACCATAGCACTGGATCCCACCTCTGATGTTTTAAAAGTGCGTGTTGCTCTGCATTTAATTTGTATTGCTGGAATGGACTTGAGAGCTTTAACAGTCTTGGTTATCTCCAAATTTCATTTACTATATCTTTTGATACAAATTAATATCCTACAATTGTTTAAATTTCTTGAATAAAATTTCCTTCTCTCAAGGAATTAGTTTGTCAGTTCACCTTGAATTTCTTTTTTCATGTGGCTCATCCAAGTTTTACATGTAAGTTGTATTTTAAATACTATTATATGCCAGACTCATTAAGATTTTCAAAAATATATCTTAAGTTTGTTTATTTTATAGAAAACATTTCTATCATATTTGGATCCTTATTTGGAGTTTTTTTCTGCATATGTGCAGGATTAATGATATATATTTTTCACTACAAGTTTTCAACCAAACCAAGTAAGTATTATTTTTGTATATTAGTAAATGATACGATTCTTTAAATCATTATTTACTTTTTTTTAATTGAATTATTTTCAGAATATTGTTGTATTCCATATATATATACATACATCAAATTGTGCTTATCACTAAAATATTTCTTTTCTTTTTCATTAGGAAATAATGTCAAGAAAAATGGGTAAGTGCAAATGAAAATAAGTTATGCTCTCATCTTTTGATTTTAATTTCTTCGACCGCGTGAGTTGATCTTTAGTCGGATAAGATCGTTTATAAACTGAGATCCCGTGTCGCAATAGATGCTGTCACAAAAAAAATCCTTTAATGCTCAAAGGCCCTTAGTGCCAAGTATAGGTCTGAATTTGCAGCACTCTACCGCCAAGTGAAAGTGAAAAATTCTCGATAAGGGCATGAAACGAAACAAGCAAAAAGCTTATGTAAAATATGAAGATAATGAACCCTGACCAGTCTTCGTTTCATAAACAAAAATGCATTGTAAACGGGGCAAATGCACGGTCCCCTATAGCAGAGCTGGTGATCAGGTGTCTAGGGGGAGTATAACCACTCCCTGCTGACCAACGGGTCAGACCCGCAATGTCCCCGATGGATTAATTTTATATACATAAGAATTATTCTTTGTTCTCAACGTATTAGTACAAACACAATGCCCAAATTAATTATATCAATAACGAATCAACAGTATTTTTGAAAAAGTACTTACAAAAGAGATCATTATATATGCGTAGAATTTGCGAAAATATTTCTGACTTTGATCGTTCTAATTGAAATTCTAGTAATATCAATTTATTTTTTGTAAATTTATCATGCTCTTGCGAATCGAATCATAGGAAGATATAAACACCATATACAGGTGATGTTGGAAAATTACTTTATAAAATAAATAAGGAAAATTAATGATGGAAAGGCAGAGTCAATCCCTTTCTATTCAGTTAAGTTAATTTTTTTAAACATCAAAAGTTAGTTAACCATTTTAAGAAAAAAAAGATTTTGCTGTCTCTGTTTTGTCTTTAAAAATCGAGACTGTTATATATCGAATTGATTATTCATTTTTTCATTGTTATAAAAACCAAGACATTTAGTGTAGTATATAAATTTACTCTTAAATTGAAATGCCTACCAAAATTTAAAAAAAAAACTGCTTAATCAAACTTATGACAATTTTTTTCAGCAAAAATGGAGATTACGTCACGCAATATGTTTCTGATTTAGATGATCACAAATATCACGGTATTGATGAAGACGCTACAAGTAAGCTTCAAAAATGCATTTTTCTCGAGTTTGTAAGGTATTCAATGTTTAATGAATGATTATTAATAAATTTAAACTAGTTAAATATGTATTTTGAGGTAACGATGAAAGTGAAATAAACCAAATTCACGTACTGGTAACATGAATATAAGAAGATGGTCATTTTGCATTTTAAATGTTTTCGAAAAGTTGTTTGCCCTAGATAAAGAAGAACATTTTTATTTTTTCGAAATAGCTGTGGTAAAGAATTCACTTTGTTCTTTTTTTTAACTTGAGAGAGTGTATGTTTACTTAAAGATTTGTTTGAAGTTCAAATTACTTTTTATAACATCTTAATGACACATGCACTACCCATACACTTCAAGGTGAAATTCAAAGTTCAATAAAATGGACAATAATCAAACTTCAGATTGTAAATTTTTTTTGGTGGAGTGTGTTTATTCAAAAACACTTTGTAATATTAAATATTTATTTAAAATTTCGATGGTAAGGTTTTGTTTTAAATCATTGACACTGAAGCTAGGGTTAGACCCCTTCATTTATGAAATTACTAAGTTAAGATATTTTTTAAAAAGTCTTTTCAAGAACATCAAAGATGTAAATAATATTGAAAATTAAAAAATAAACTTGCAGGAATGTAAAATCTAACGGTTTCCCTTTGCTTTCTACCCTTTCAAGGCTGGTTTCAGTATATTACAGTTCTAGAAAATATCAAATTTCATTTTAAAAAAAACTAAGTATGTATTTTTGTCAAAATCTCTTTGGCAGTCTTTGCATGGTTTTTGTGTAATATAGCTTCATTTTACTTCACATTGTACAGCTTCTCATTCTGATCAATTACCGGTAATTTAAACAATAAAATGTTTTCTTTGTTTGTTAATATTGCAATTAATGGAAGCAGCTGTTGCAGAAAAAATACATAACCCGCTTACGCGGGTTATGTAAATTTTTTCTGCAATAGCTGCGACCGATAATTCCAGTAATAACAAACAAAGAAAGACATTCTATTGTTTATATTTACATCTGTTTAAATAATCATTTAAAGTAGGATTAAAAAGGTTAATTATTGTATTAATGATGCGAACGTCTTTATACATTTCATTGATGGAACATCCACTGATCAAGAAATCTGTACAGGCGACAAACCTTATGTAGTTCATGCAGTGATTAACGCAATGGGTTTTCTTAAGAAATAAAGGAGAATATATTCAGTGGATGTAAATATATAGAGAATATTAATGTTCTATAAGCTGTAGAAAAAGAAACTTGTAAATTAAAAAAGATATTTTTGATTCTTCCAAAGAAATAGATGTAAATGAAATATTTTAAATAGAAACAGGTATTAAAGCACGAAATTCAGAAAATATGTACATGGATTTCTAATTTTGACATCTACTTTCCCTACGTATTTTCATTCATGAAAATAACACCTGATTTTTTTTTACACGATACTAGTAGCAGATAGATTAAAAGATTTTGAAAGTTGTTAATTTTGTGTTTGGATTAACCAAATATTTGAAATGAAAGCGAACCTCTGAAAAATGTGTGGGTTACTTTTATTATAGATTGTGTGTGTCATTGTATTATATAACTAGTAGAATTGTAAAGTCTTGAAAAATCGGTTCTCTATTCTTTTTTCTTTCTTCGTTGTAGAAACTGGGCACCAAGAGAACAGGTAAGCCTCAACAACTTTAGTTCTTTGAGTAAGTTTTTTTTTATGTTGATAAATGGCTTTGCATGAACCTACTCTTTCATATATTATTATGTTATGTTTTTGTAGTGCACATTATGAGGTTTTGGGAAGTAGAGATCCCGGAAATGTTTATGACAGAGTTAAAGACGTTAATTCCGGTGTTGTAACGCACACATCCAAGGACAAAAAGTAGAGAATAAATCTAAACTCATTTTAAATATTGTAGAGTACAAAAAGTCGGGTTATGTTGAAAAGATTGTTAATTTCAGTGCAAATAGAATACACTGACATGCAAAATTTTGTATTAGGTCATTATGATATATTAGTACTTTACATATACAATGTATATACTATTATGTATGTCACACAAAATGTGGATTTAAGTATATTTGACGTCAAAGTTCGAGATAACAAAGATTAAACTATACTGTAATTAAGACTATTCTCTTTAGAGAAGTGGAAATGCTTTGGCCTACATCAGGATGTAGGTGAAAGCTTGTCCACTTCTCTAAAGAGAGTAAATATTAGGCTTGAATGAAATTTATATTTTTGGGCCAGGACTTTTTTTTTCATAAGATGGTCAATATTTTGTTTACGTTGTCTTATAGTGCATCGCATCCATACTTCCTCAGCTTGATTGAAACTCTTTAGAATAGTTTTCCTACGAAAATTGTTGCATTTAATCTACTGCTTATATTTAAGAAATCAGTTATATAATACTATTGATTATCGGCCGCAGCAGCGGCCAATCTATTTGTGGTTGTGTTAGAAAGTGCACATGGGGAAATGAGACTTTTTTTTTATAAGTTCGGTTAAATAATTCTTTAATGCTATCATGAATAAAATCAGAAGTAAAATATTTTAAAAACTTGCTTTGAAATAAGTATTAATTGTTGTTATTACGTTTCAATCTCATTATCATTTCTTATCATATAATTGTTAATTTATGGTTATAAAAAAAGAGTTTATAATAGGTACTCCCCAGCCTGGGAGTGTGTAAGATATGAAAGGAAATCGTCATGAATTCCGGATAATAATGACGTGATAAAAGTGCATGGTGAATAAAAATTGAAAAGTTGTTCAAAAAGAAAAAAAATGTTTTGAATAATATTATTGTGCAAATGCTGCATATTGCACCGCGCCTTGCAGCATAGCCTAGCTACTCTCACAAAACGAAGGACATTAGATCACGCGACAAAGATCCAGGGTATCAGCACGCTGTACATTTGAGAGGCCTTCATATTCATTTTGGTGACAATAAATTCTTTTCATTTATCATTAACTTCATTACATCGATGAATCCATTTAATGTGCAAATGCACTAAATTTCTATTTAATATTTTAAAATTATTTATTTTGATTTGAAGACAGTCTGAAATAAAAATGATTACTATTTAAGCTTTGAATATCTTGTGTGCTTTCCTTGCATGGAAGCTTTTTAAAATTAAGAATGTACTTTTTGAAATGCTAAATTTTGTTTGCGGCCGATTTGATGCTTGCGTCAATTTTTACTTGTAAGCATTTGAAATTTTCAAATTTTGTCTCTCCAAATGGTTGCTTTACACACATATATATTTTACTATTAGGAATCCTTTAACTTTGAATGACTTCCCTTAGGAAATGTGTTTGCTCTAAATACATAATATTTATTCTTGTATTATTTCCAAATAAACTCCGAAACGGCTGCTCTAGAGTTCTTACTAAATCCTCTAGAAATACACTACGTATTCTAAGCATATGATTTTCCAAACAAATTACAATTATTATAGCTTTTAAAAGCTTCCAATCTAAGTACAGATTTGAGCCAAAAATCCGTTAAAAGCGTTTTTCTTTCTAAGGAAATGATCAAATCTTTTTGTTTTTGTATCATTTTGTATCTTTGTATGACATTACCATATGTGAAAATAAGAAAAATTAAGTATAAGAAGCGTATAAAAATAACTATGTATCCTTAAAAAGTTTTCATAGTTATTTTTATACGCTTCTTATACTTAATTTTTCTTATTTTCACATATGGTAATGTCATACAAAGATACAAAATGATACAAAAACAAAAAGATTTGATCATTTCCTTAGAAAGAAAAACGCTTTTAACGGATTTTTGGCT